ATACAGAACCCTTTGGTGGGTTTTTTTTTTTTTTTTGTAGGACCCAAAGAGAAGAACGGATGGTTTCTTGAAGTGATCTTTTTTTAGAAGAAGAAAAAAAGTAGCGATGAATAAAAGCAAATACGAAATAGCTGCAAGGCGCTGCTTCCATCTGGGGATTATAATAAAAAAAAACCTGAGCCTCATAAGAAGAAAAGCGACTAAGGGCTCCGGAGGGTGGAGGAACACGAAACCCCACGATGCTGCATAGAAGGCAACGCATTACTCCGATATAAGTTTGTGGTCAGCAAAACACGAGTGGATTTTTGTCTAGAGGCCCAGCTTGGCCCTAGGTGGTATCTCCGTGGGATACATATCCTCTTCAAGCCAATGAAGGAGAGAAGGTCTTTGGAAGCAACTTCCACAGCAATGAATGGGGCCGGGAACTTGGTCCTCCCCCCCCCGCCCCCTAAACTCGCGTTTGATTTCAGCAGGTCGCAGCTGGCGAAAAGCTGCCTCCAGGTCCCCTTCTCTAGCTTTAGGCGGCTGCTTAGAAGCCGAGGAAGTTTTCAGGGGCGCTTTTTGCTAAATGTTGATCTTGTTCCACCTAATTCGAATCCTATTTTCCCCTTCATGTTAATTGTTGGAGCTGCCGCTCTCATTTGCAGAATCCCTCCCTTTGCCCTCGAGATTATTGTACTTTAAACTACATAATGGGAACCGCTTAAGAGGCGGGAGGAGGGAAAGGGAGAAAATTAGCGCGTAAAAAAAAAGGGGGGGGCTGCATTTGATGTTGCTGGCGCAAAGAGATCTTCCTCTTCGGGAAAAACCAACCTACCCACCCACCCATCTTCCTCTGGAGAAGCCAAACAAGCCACGGTTTCCTTTGACAGTCGCCTGCGATCTGAGGATTTTGCTGTTTAAGTCTTGTCACTAAAACGCTCGCCTCTGCCTCGGAAAGAGACGCAGCGCGATTTGCGTTTTATGGGGGGGGAGGGAGGTGCATTGGGAAAACACCTTCCCTATAACGCGTTTTAAGGCTACGTTGGGTCATTTTCTATTAACTAGCAGCGAAGGCAACAGCCTAGGTAGGACAAGCGTTTTGGGGTTGAAATTCTTATTGGCTGTCGTAGCGATTAAGCATCCCGGTCTCCAATTAGCACGTGTCTAATCGATTGGAATCGCCATTTAAATATATATATATATNACTGCCAAAAGGGCATCCAAAGCTATATTCACAAGGATTGAACATCTCACTCTGAACATTTGTGCTACATGATGGCTTGCTTTGAGAAGGGGCGGCTTCTGCCTTTGGGGGCTCCACCTGTTTCTCCTGCTTCCTTCCACACTTTATAAGCAGCTTCTTAGTAAATCTGAAGGGTGTAACTTCAGACATTCCATGATAATATGATGAATTTCAGAAAGAAAGTAAGCTATGCAAAATGTAACAGGAGAACTTTCAAAATAAAATAAGTAACATTTTTCCAAAAACAAAAATAGAAATCATTTTCATTGTTCATAGCACAATTTATGTTATTATTTTAGGAAATTCACTATATTACAGAGTAAGGTTTGTATAGAAAACCACAGAATTTTAAATTTCAACCGACTCAAATTTCTACATGCTTAGTTGTTATATATTACCTAGAAGAGATTTTGTAAACAAGATATGAAGAACAGTTATCACATAACATATATTGTTCTGTGTAGCCTAACACTATGAGTAAAATCAGAGGAATCAAGATGTAGAAAGAAAACTCCAAATAGATGGACAGCCTTACTCACCCCTACATACTGTAAAGCTACAACTTTTCTCAAAATAATCTAGAGTACCATACATACATATATGATACACAATTTATCTAACACAGAAGTGCAATTTCGAAATCATCATAGAATCCTCATATACACTGAAAACTGTACCAAAAAGACGTACATACTGCTGTTCTACCACACTGCCATACCATATCCAAATATAAGCACCCTATTAACAATATTGTTTGACTTGGCAAGTTATGCAATATGCATTCAAGTGTTTATATAAGCTACGTTAAAACATATTTTAGAGAATTTTTGTAAGTACATTTCTGTTCAAGAGTATTTTCAGACAATATACTCAAAATATCCAGGGTTGTAGAATTAGATTAGCATCCCAAGAAGAGAAATAATCACCAAGGATTTCACAATAAACATGTTGAAAAAATGGTAACAGAACTTTTATTAGATATGGGGAAAGTATATGAAGCTTGTAATGGAATCCATTTCATTCCCTAGACATGAATAAATTAAGTCTACTGAGTGTAAGCTGAGAAAAAAAGGCCACCGCCCTCGATGGTTCAGAATTTGAACCATCAGTGACACCTTGGGCAACATATATAGTCAATATGTGAACCTTTCATTATGCTAATGAGGAATTCCACACGTGTAACATAAAACAAACCCATACATGGCTATTTCAATTCAACCAAGAACCATTTCAACGTAATCTATCAGAGCAGTCTTTTATTTATTTATTAATTAAACAGATTTATATAGCCACCCAACTCACACATAACAACTCCATTTGAATCTGCCTAAAAAGAGGAAGAGTTCAAAGGCAGTCAGTGATCATTTTTGGGAAGTTGAAAAAGCTGTGGCAGAAAAGTGTGGATTCCCCATGCTTGTATGTATGACAAGAAAGTATAAATCTTGAGAAGTCTAGTGAGTTTAGGGGAGAATGCTTCTAAAGGCTACTACAAATGTCCCCATGTTTTAACCTCTCAATTCCCTTCCCAATTCAAATTACTTCCAGCTCTAAACCTAACCTTCAATTAAAATCACTTCCAATATGATGGGATTCTGTGTAACTATAGTTTTTCCCCCAACACACAAGTTGAATGAAATCAGAAACAATTGTTTATCCTATCACTGAATGACACAACCTACAATAAAACAAACAACAGGAAAACACAAAATAATGACTAGTTTTCAACTATCTCTAGTCACAAAGTCTCTAAATATTTGAAAATACATTGTGCTGAGAGCATGTCTTTTTGTTAAAAGAAGCACAACAAGTAGCTGATCAAGGTAATTCCAGCAATATAAAAGAAAATATGTTGACAATTTAAGAAAATGAACAATATTATTACCACCTTAGTAAAGTCTCTTTACTACAAATATGTTTGATATACGTTCTAGGAGTCTATTGTACCATACTTTCTGTTTTCTTAATTATCAGGCAAATCACTAAGTGCATAAAACAGTCGTGAATACTGATATGTACAATACTAATAAGATATTTAGCATGAAAAATAATTATTTTTTCTTCAACCATCACATTTTCAGTTGAGGCAGAAATACAAAACCATTATAAGTTACTGGCACTCTCCAGATTCAACCTATTCATCAAGCCAAACCAATTATTAGTGTCTAGAGGAAACCAATACAAACATTTTATAGAAGGTAACATTTAATTATAAAATTGTAGCTGATTGAATTTTGGGGCATTTGACTTGTTTCCGGGTAAATCATAGCATGTTAATATATAACAATAAACCGCATATTTGGAAGTATCATGCACATCATTGAGCCACTGATTTATCTCTTCTCAAAAGCACTGTAGATAACATTGCATCCACCATCTCTAGGTACACAATACATTATATCCATGTTTACTCAGCAGTAAATCCCACCAACTTAAAACAAGATTCCTACTGAAACAGATGAAGTCACTGTTTCAAACATCACACAGTGCTAAATCAAGTTTGCCATTAAATTCATATTGTTCCAAATGTACAAGTAATTTTGAAACTCTGATTATAGGATAGATATCTTGAGGACCCTTTTTTATATGCCTGCATAATATTTGAGGATGATATGTGCATTTTATAGATGTGTGTTAATTTCTATGTCTCATGCAATCAGGGCTCAAATACAGTTGAAATCACAAAAGGATTGTGTGCCATCTAAATCAAACACATTTTAACATAAGCTTTAATACATTACAGTTCACTTCACTTTATGTCTTTATAACATTCCAGTTATAATAATCTTTATAACACTCTTAAAGTACACAACAACTTAAAAACTCAAAAACCCTGTGGATTTTCCACCATGAATTAAATAAATTATTTAAGCAAGCCCCAAACTATTCCATGAATTAAGAATGCCCAACAACAGAAAAATAACATTAATCTTTGGAACACTGAAAATTTAGCTCTTAAAATAACTTTTGGTTTTAAAATATGTTATTGTGGCTATCAAATGTATTGACAGCGACCCTAGCTTTTTGTTTAAAGTATTGTCAATACTGGATACTTGTTCCCATTTTAAAATTAATATAAAGGGGAAAAATTGCCCAGCAAAAATAGATAATATTGTCTTATCACTAGCCCAACTCAAACTTGAGATTTATTAGGTTTTCCTATGCCTGCTTGGGAACTTCAGTCTCTTTAGACTCAGGTAACCACTAATGGAGCAGCTCTACATATGTTTCTCAGAAGTAATCGACTTAATTGAACCAATAGACCTTAAGCCTAAGAAAACTTAAAAGAAACTTAACAATTGCTTTGGCAACTGACAGCATCTACAAAGATGTACTTTATAATGAACATCACAAGCATATGTCAATGGTTACATCTGCTATTGAAGTTATACCACCCAGCCATTCTGTAGAATTTAGCCCTTATGCTCTATTACAGGTTTCCAAATATTATTAAAGTGTCTGAATGCAATTATAAATGATTCTGAGTAGAAGAATTGCCACATAGCAGGAAGGAGACTTCTGAAATGTTATCAAAACTACATGTTTGCTCCTCGGTAAACAAAGCTTGTCTTTCCAAAGATAACTTTACTTCATTCATTGCATAAAAACACACAGACACAGATACACACCAAGAGAGACACAGTCAGTCACATGTGTGTGTATATATAAAGAACACTTACTGTTCTAGGAATTGGTGGCGAGAGAGATCCATTAGACATATATGGGTCATTATTCATATTTGGCATCATGATATACCCGGAATAACCAGAATAAGGTCCTTTATTGTACAGAACACCATCTATGTGTTTGCCTGTAAAAAGCAAGGATTATTTTAGCTTGTTCTTTACATTTCTAACATAAAAGAAACGTTTATATAACATGATCTTCATCAAGCAGCTTTAGTCTTTTTTTAAAGATTCATCTCTGCTTTCAGTCTTTCCTTAAAACCTCTTGAAAGAATAGATGTATGTAAGAGTCTAGCTTTCCATACATATGCTGTGTGATAGGCTGTACAGTTTGACTTCTAGCAAATATTTCCAACCTTCCAAATTGCAGCCTGCCAGATCTCTACGATATTAAAAATGCCAAATAAATCTGTTTACCCCTACAACGTACAGAGAAAAGAAAACGTTTCTATATGTGGCTTGTGTGTGCTAATATAATGATTAATATGCACTGTTTTTTTAATGTGCAATTCTAAAACTTTAGTCGTCTTTATACATGCAACATGATCTGGCTTATTCTTATTGGGCCAATTAGAAGCAATTAAGGAGAAAAAGAGTTCAGGCTGGCATACAACAATACCCTGCTGATAGTAGTGAGCCTGTTCATCAGAGGAGTCTCCATTTTTAATCTGCTTAATATCTCATTTAAATAATAATGGCTAGTTTGCAAGCAGTGCAAGTTGGATGTGGGTTGTCCATATTTATTGACAAGTGCTTCATCACAGTTCCTGGATAACAGAAGGCATGTCTGTGTTCAGGATTTGACAAGAAGCTGAAATATTTTGTGGTTTAAAAAAATTCACCTAACTGGACTCAATGAAAGACTTTATTTAACCAAGTATCCAGCAGACCTTCCTACAATTGTCTTTAATTAACAGCAGGGTAGATCTCCAGTGCATTGGGTGAATTAAACTAATCCCTTCACCATGTTTTGGGGGGATGGGGTTGGGGGGAAGGTTTGTTAACCATTTCTGTACTTAAGTAAATAAATAAGCAAACAACTGAGTATATAAATAAATAGTGCTATCTTGTCTTGTAAGAATAGCATACATATGCTTTGCTTTCCTGTCACATAAGCAATTTATCTTTTAAAAACTATATTTTTTAAAAAAAAATGGGGCACTGACTTGATTGAGGAAACATTCCCAGGCCATAGAAACACAATGTCAGATACCAAAATCACATTCATGACCAACAACCCACATTCAAAAAGAATGGGTTTGGTTAGATGGCCCACCTATACAGTTTTACTAGATGCTGCAAGATCCAAGCTAAATAGGATTTAGCATAACAAATCCACTATCTCAATAGTGAAATCCAGACACCATGTCGTATATATCTAACCATAATATATACTGACTTCGGAACAAGAAGTATATTTCCAATATAATGGGAGACTGCAAGGTTGGATAAAGCTGCTATAAACACAACATCTCTTACCTTCTTCAGGATGTTCTCTGCTTTTTTCATAAACTTCCTGAGACTGGCCTTGTCTAGACACCTAACCAAAAAAATAAAATAAAACCATATATGACGGCTATGATATTTTGTGATACATAGCAGAAAACTGTCAGTGTCCAAGTTCAGTAAAAGTGTCTCTTAAACATTTTCCAGGACAAATAAGCGAAAGGGAAGGATGTCCCAATATTCTCTTTTCAGCTACATAAGAATGGCTTCCATAGTCCTTATTTTGCATTAGGTGCTTCTTTTATTGAAAATTGCATTATTAAGAACAAAAAAACCTCTCTAGTTTGTTTTAAGATGTGGTAGTTACCCAATACTTTATGTAAAACCTTTGAAGAGTTTATGATTAATCCTGTAACCTTTCTGATTTCAATCCAAATATATTCATGGCTGCTCTAGATTAATGCTATTGTATGATCCTATGAGTCATATGAACATGCCTTCAGTATGCCATGAAAACTAATTTACAAAACAAACCAATACACATCTAATCCAAAGTATTACTATGTTGGATGACGCTTGTCATGTAAACATAAAACATTGGAACCTTATGGGCAAAGGGCACTCTCACATTATGCTTATTCCTTACAAAAAAGGAAAGGCATACAATGTGATACCACTAGGTATTAACTAAATAACACTAAGTTAAAGAACAATCATTTCAACAGGCTCCTAGCTTCATTGTAAACAATAAAAGTTCATACAAATTGAAGCACTAATTTGGAAAATTCAACAACATTCAATCAGTCTCTTTTTCATTGTAAAAAACCTTGGTATTTTGTTGCACAAGAAAAGAAAACAGGTAACTGTTATGCACAACAACAAAACAAGAAGAACAAAAAGTTATTCTGGTATTGGAGAAGTACAAGTGTCTTTTCCTAGAATAAGCCAACATTTGTAAACAAATAACCAGCAATTTAGGGCTGTTGTTTGATAAAACTCAAAGTTAGCTGCCAAAAGCATCTGTTTCATTCTGCTGGGTGGTAGGACTAGTCCCACTTCGGTGTGACACACACACGCACTTACACACAGAAAGAGTATGTACCTACCCATGAATAACATTGTGAGTGGAATTTACTTGGAGCGAATGTGTTTGAGACCCTTTTCCTAATTATTAGTAGGGCAGGGCCCATTGCTACATTCCTAAAATATTTCTACATCAACCCCTGCCAGAAGCAACAGGAAGAAAAAGGCTCTTCTGACTTATGAGCAGCTATTACTATCTCTGAGCTACCGAGGCTATAGAAATAGCATTTCTCCAAACCTTTTCAGGCGTCTATTTTTCCCACGTAAACAAATTCAGACGGACCTTCATGGGTTTTATTAATGCATGAATCACTAATGCAAGCAGTCGATACTTCCTAATATGCAAATATGCACAGAGCCTCTCTTTTCCTACAGTTGCAATTTCCATTTATAATCAACTCTTAAATCCAAATGGAAATCCCTAACTGCAGCTTTTGGGAGGAGAAGTCTGCGACCCTTTGCCCGACAAGGTCTATTCTTGAAAAGGGCTTAGAATGTTATGGGTGGGGGAGGGGAGGTCAGAACCCCCGTACTACTGTCCTGATCCTGTTCAGTTTCCTCCATCTAGGGTTAAATAGTTAATACTCAGCCACACATAATTGCCTCTGTATTCTCAGTTCCCAAGCCTACTTTACATCAGGGTAAGGCCAGGCACCAAATATAATCGCCGGCCCTACAGAGAAACGCCCAGCATCAAACTCAAAAGTTTTAAGCTCAAAACAGAAGGGGATTTACAATTCATCCTTAACAGCTGTCCACATGCAAGGAAGGAGGCAAAAGGAACCAATTTGCCAAAAGGAAAAAGCCAATGAGCCGAAGTGGTGGTGGGGAGCTACTATAGTGGCATTCTAGCAGCCGTGTCCTTGTCTCTCCTCCCCCACCTCCCTTCCCTTCTAAGTTGGGGGATAAAGCAGCAATAAGATTAAACTCTGAGTAAACAAATCAATCGTTCTATTTCAGCTTCTGAGCGGAGCCCGGGCTCTACTTCCAAAGGGGTGGGGAGGGGAGTGCAAACAGCTTCCAACTCCTCTCACTCTCTCTCTCTCTCTCTCCACCCACCACTACGCCAAGCGCTGCTATTCATTCATGGGGAACAGAGGCAGATCGGTTTTCAAAGCGCCGTGGTCAAAATCTGTAACCCACTTGGCGGCTTTGCAGCTTCCCGTTTTCCATTCTGGGCTCACACACCCCCTTTTCCTTAGCTGGCCGTGAAGAAAAAGAGAGAGAGAGAGACAGACAGAGAGAAAGAAACTAGGGGACTTGAACTTTCAAGGAAAGCCCTTTAAAATAAAATTAAATTAAAAGAAAATAACTTTCCCCCCCTTATTCCCTTACACGAATCCCAGAGCAGACCCGAGGCCAACAGATGAAAGAAAGCCGGGAAATGGTTTCCCACCCAAAGGGAAGCCCACCCAGGGAGCGAGAGCGGACTGTCTCCTCCGGCCAGGACTCTGTTGCTCCGGGCAGGACTCCCGCTGCCACCGTCCTACCCCTCCATGAGCAGCGCTCCTTCCAGAAACTTTTCTGCAGTTCCATCAGCCAAGGGGCAGCCCCGGCTCGTCCTTCCCACCAAGACCACGTTCCAAGTTGAGATGAGTGAAGCCCAATTCCCCTTGCCTACCTCGTGCCCGTTGCTGCTGGGGATGGTTTCCGACTCGTTGACCAGCGAAGACTTGATGTCGGCCAGGTCTCCTTCTTCCTCCGGGTGGCTGATCTCGGCGAAGATGGTTTCCTTTTGGGGGTCACCTTCGTCTTTGAAGGGGATCATCTCGTCGGTGGCACAGAGCTCCGGATCGCCGCCGCCTCCCGAGAGCTGAGGCATAGTGGCTTTCTTTCCACCCCGGGAAAGAAAGGAAGGAGAGCAGGAAGAGAGAAAAGAGAGGAAGAACAGGAGGAGGAGGAGGAAGAAGGAGAGCGAGGGGAGTTAAAAGGCTTTGGACGCCGAGCTCGCTTTGCGCTGCGCTCCTATAGCCTTCCTCCCCCTCCGCCTGCTTCTCTCTCCCTCTCTCTCTCTCAGCCTAAACGCTGCGCTTTCCTCCCTTTCCCACCCCATCCATATCCAAACACCTGGGGGGAGGGGAGAGAGCAAGCAAGACTGGAAGTGTGGCCGGCCCTGTCTACTTTGTCTGCTTGAAAAGAAGGGGAGGGGAAAAGGAAGCCAAAGAGCCAGGCAGACGCGCGCTCCCCCCCCCCCGTCTCTCTTCCCTGCCGGTTTCTGTTGTGTCTGCAGTTCAAGACGACGCGAAAGTCGGGCAAGTTGGCTTTCTCTCAGAGACTTTTAAACCTGGTTTTCTAATGGGTCCTCCTTTCCCTTTCCCTTTTTTGAAAGAAAGGACCACAGCCCCCCCCCCTCCCCCCCTCTGTGTGTGTGTGAGAGAGAGGGGGGGAGAGAGAGAGGGAGAGAGGCACAAACGCCGGTCTTCGAGAGGAAAAGCCAACGAGCCCTTTAAATGGAAGCCTTCTGAGATACAGAATGGACCCCAAGGAAGGACGGGACGGGACGGGGGGTCTCCCTGCCTGTGCGCGCACACATCCCGCGCGAAGGTCCGGGGCGCAAAGTTGGAAGGTCCCTGGGCAGGAAGGACGCCAATGGGAGAGAGACAAAAAAAAAAGGTCGGTGGGAAGATGGGGG